TATTGCTCGGGGACCCCATGAGTTGTCAGTCCGCCCCTGTCCATGAATGATCCTTTCAAAATGAAATAATAGGATTATGAGATCCTCCTTCACCAACGTGACATCCAGTGCTCAAAACACCCCATCAAAATGCACACTCACCATGTGCTGGTGATAAACCAGCATATCTTTATATATCCAGCCATCCACCACAATGCTCCGGTTATTAGGAAATCCTCTCATATCCAATTAGCACATGTGAATAGAAAACATACTCGCCATTGTGCAATATCATCCAGCTAGTTTATTGGTAACAAAACCCCCCTTAAAACCGCACTCACAATGAGTAAAAAACAAGCAAACATTGATTAGGAGCCACAGGCTCTGTCTCCGGCGTCTCACCCACCCGCCCTCAACCAAGATGGCGATGGTACAACCACGTGGTCCGGACACATGGGATAGCGTGCGTGCGTGATGACGTCACCGATAGCCATCATTCATATATTGCCACTTTGTCAATCCTACTTCTAACCCCGAAACATGATTTGGTGAGGAGAGCTCAACACAGACCAATGAAAATAGCACACAGTGTCCCTAACCCAGTGTTTCTCAACTCCAGTCCTCATGGAAAAAAAAAATTGCCAGTTTGCGGCGTTTTGCCACATTTTTCAGTTGTTAGAGCATTTTTACGCTGAAAACTCCTCTAGAAACTCACTAGTTCTGGGGGGTTTTCCAGCCAAAAAATGTCCCTGCCAAAAAAAACGTTGATTCCAGTCTATGTGTGCATGGATACATAGGATAACATGCTGGGGGGTTTATTGACTGTAGAAAAAAAGTCAAAAGCCAAACAAGGCATTTGCCTAGGGCGGCATTTTTTTAGAGGGGCAGCATTGCCCCCTGGAAGAATGGGCATATGCGGCATGGGGACCAGATGGGATCTGAGACAGGCTGTGGGCTGCTTGATGGTGTGTACGCAGAGCTCAACTGTCGTTCCCAGAATTGTCCAGAGCTGTGAAGTTGTCTTCCTCTCTGTCACCGTGGAGGGGTGTGGGGGTGTTGTGCTAGTGGAAGCCTTTCTCCGGTGGGGGTATGCGGCATGGGGACCAGGGGGATGAGGCTGTGGGGGTGTTATTGGCCACTGTCAGGCTCCCTCTGCGTGGTTGGGGTGGGGTCTTCTGGTGTTGGTCAGTGTCAGGCTCTCTCTCTGCCTGGAAGGGGGGGGGGGGTCCAATTTTTGTGTTGCCTAGGGCAGCACAAAACCTAAATACACCACTGCTCCCACCCCCATTCTGAGCCTATTCAATCTACCCTGTGAAAGATGTCTGTACTTACCTATGCTGAAGCAGCTCCGGTCCGGTCTGGTCCCATGATCGGGTCCCAGTACCAGCTTCAGAGTAGAAGAGAGGCAGCAACATCGGCGGCAGGACCTGTGCGATGACACCACCCAGAGACTTACTATGGGGCATTCGTTGTTGGCTGTCCCTCCTTTACATTGGAGTCGACGTTGGGACCCGATCATGTGACCGGACTGGAATTACTTCAGAATAGGGATAGACATCTTGTATTTTACAGGGTAGATTGAATAGGCTTAGAATGGTCGGTCACATGATCAGCCATGTGAACGATCCATTAAAACTTCAAGCCCAACTGAATCTAGCTCAGTACATTCCAGGTGCATCAAAACAAAAGGTGTAAATAGTCTTGCAGTTTTTGGTTTTCTTTAAGAGCAGCCACTGCTGGAGTAGAAAAGCCTGTCTCCTTGCCAACAGCTACAGAGTGGGGCCCAATCTCTGTGTGTGGAACAAGTGGCCTCTCTGTAGAGGTCTAATATGCCCCCTGCTGAGTCCAACCTATAGCCCTGCAATCATCAAATTTGTACTCTCTGCTGATTGAAGAGCCCTGGCTTGGGCAGGGCTTTACAACCTTTGTAGATCTTTAGGACTTGTTGCTCCCTGTATTTTCAGTTAATTGGTTTCTTGATCTCTTTATGTTTTTTTTCTCAGATCTCAGCCATCATTGTGCACCCCCAACTATGACCCCATTCTGCTGGATTCCGACATAGCGGTCATCAAACTCCTGGACAAGGCCCGTGTCAGTGACTACGTGCAACCGGTTTGCCTCGCCTCATCACCAGAACTTGACTCCTCCACCCTGGACACCAGGATTGTCACAAGTGGCTGGAGGATTCTCTCTGACCCCAAGGCCCCAGGTTATAAGAACGAGACTCTTCGTGCCGGTCTTGTCTTGCCAGTGGACTCACTACTGTGTGAGCAGCAGTATGAGGAAAATGGCATATCCGTCAGTGTGACAGAAAGCATGTTCTGTGCCAAGCAGGTGCCAGGAGCTTCTACTCACATCTGTCCTTCAGAGACTGGTGGTATTGCTGCTGTCTTACTGCCGGGAACTGCATCCTCTGAGAGCAGATGGCACCTTATGGGACTGGTCAGCTGGGGATATGATAAAACCTGTCAGCAAGACTTGTATGCAGGCTACACCAAAGTCACGGCACCTTCAAGGAATGGCTAGAAAAAAATATGAAGTAGACTCTGAGATGAAAGGGACTTGGTGATGGGGTAATATCCAAGGACTAGGAACTGTGCTCTGTCCCATATTTATGTATTTATATCCACAATACAGTAATCTGCATCTCATCTCATTTTAGATAACTAGGCCCTTGAGGACTTTCCGAAATTTGCTGAAGAATTCCTGGTTTTACCTAATAACACGCATTTTGATAGGAACATGCGTTCTGTTCCAGAGTTTTGGTGTGCTGTTGGCATCATCATGCTTTGTGTGCCAGAGAAAGCGTGTACCTGAAGGGTCACTTAGACAATGGCCAGTGTTCTTGACATACTACGAAGGTTCTAAAGCAGTAGAAATCAACTAGCTTCCAAGCGACCACATACATCTCTCTACTCCTTTTTGGCCTTCATGACAGTGGTAAAATAATTAAAAATAATCTTTCGTTTTTACTTTCTCATATGTGAATTTCTACAAGGGTGGAACTAAACAACTGCAATGTACATAGTTCTGAGTATTAGAGCTGCCATGCTTGGCATAGATAGTTCCTAAAGCTGAACTCCAGCCATACCTTTAGTCTTGTACAGTTGTACCGACTCCTCTTCTGGAATTGCTTCCTCTGATTTCACTGTGAGCTTCTTCCAATGTGTATGAGAGGCTGCAACAAGTCAAATAGAGTCCACCTTGTTTCCTGGCTGGATGACTTGCATCATCTAGCTCTTTCATCCCCAACCTTACTTACATAGTTACATAGTTGGTAAGGTTGAATAAAGACACCAGTCCTATCCAGTTCAACCTGTGTGCTCATGTCAAAAACTCATATCCCTGTATATTCTGTTCACTAAGGTGCCCATCCAAGAATTTTTTGGAACTATCAATACTTAATAGTATTGATAGTATAGTATGAGTTACTGTCCCTGCCCCGCTGCTTTTATTCACTGGATTTAGGTTCTTTCAATCATGGAGGTTCAGCATCACGTATGGGCTTTATCTAGGGTGGTCTACATGCAAATTTATTATGTCTAACAAGACAAACTCCTTTACACTGACACTCACCCATCAGGACATTTTGGCAATTGCATAACCCTACGAGGAGCCTGCCCACTGCTTACATCAGGACCAAGGGTTCTTAGGAGGAGTACTGAGGAAGCGTGCTGTGATGTTTCCTGCCAGCTTCTCTCACCAGCCATGATCTTCCTGCATTGCACAAAAAAATCACAGAGACTCAGTGATGACATCACTGGTTCTAAGGTTACGTATGTATTGAAAATGGCAATATTTGATTATTTAATTGGGAGAGGGGGAACCAGGGAAGACAAAATATAAGCGGATGTACGCAAACCTGACACTAAAATCTAAAAAAAAATAAAAAGTCAATGTAATTTTTACAAGTCATTTAAGCTATTTCAACTTTTAGTAAAATAATAGTTGGTGATCCTTCCATGAAGGTCCCTGTTGGGGTGCTTCCTGTCATAGGGTGACAACATGCGGCCCTTGTGCTCCAGTTGCGCTCCTGCATTGTCATCCTCTTACATGGACTTTCAATGGAAACTACAAATTGCAGGCTAGCACACATTATGCAGGTATGATCCACCATCAGGAAAATCATGCTGATAAATGCCATGCAGCTATCGCTGGAGTGCATGTCGTCAGGACATGGTTACAAAGTGGCTGCTGGAGAGCATCAGCTCTGGAATGCATCAAATAATGAAAAACAAGTGAAGACAAGTTTTAATTCTGAAAATTTACTTAAGATGTGCAGTGCTTTAGCAAGCTAAATGCCATTCACTTAGGGTTTATTTCTACTTTAACAAATTATTTTCACCAGCGATGGTCCCCAGTGCTGGTGGTTTCACTGCACTGAAATCTACAGGCACTTCAACTAGAGGCCCAATTCAGACATGTTAATCCTGAAATTAAGGTATAAAACCACGTCACATTATTCTTTCTGACAATCAGAATTAAAAATCATTCTATCTGCAGGCCATGAGGAATTGCCTTATACTTATAAGGCCCCCCAAAGGCTAATTGGTTGCTCATCAGTGATGTAGAGTCTTAAACATTCTCTCTCCTCACAAAGGTTGCCATTGATGACTTCTCTTTCTGCAAATGCTTGTGCCTGGCTGTCACAATGACCATAATGCTTCAGTACTTTGAATCACTAACTCTGCCTTGCTCAGCCAGGATTTTGTGGAGCCCTATGGGCTCCTCAAAAGGTTGTTCCTCCAACAGCAATTTCTGCTTCTCAGATTTGTAACCACTGACACCAATAATTTTATTAGCTATCTGTAGAGAAACAGTTTTTTGCACTGATTACCAATGTAAGGAGCATTCTGCCTACTGACCACCAATGTAAGGAGCATTCTTCCCACTGACCACCAATGTAAGGAGCATTCTTCCCACTGACCACCAATGTACGTTGCATTCTTCCTACTAACCACCAAAGTAAGGATCATTCTTCTCACTGACCACCAATATAGGGAGCATTCTTCTCACTGGCCACCAATGTAAGGAGCATTCTTCCCACTGACCACCAATATAGGGAGCATTCTTCTCACTGGCCACCAATGTAAGAAGCATTCTTCCCACTGATCTCCAATGTAAGGAGCATTCCTCCCACTGACCACCAATGTAAAAGCATGCTTCCCACTGACCACAAATGTAGGGAGCATTCTTCCTACTGACCTTCAATGTAAAGAACATTCTTCCCATCGACCTCCAGTGTAAGGAGCCTTCTTCCCACTGACCTCCAATGCAGGGACTATTCTTCCAACTGACCTTCAATGTGAGGAGCATTCTTCCCACTGACCACCAATGTAAGAGGGATTCTTTCCACTGACCACCGATGTAAAGGGCATTCTTCCCACTGACCATCAATGTAAGGGTCATTCTTCCCACTAATCACCAATGTAAGGAAGATTCTTTCCACTGACCTCCAATGTAAGGAACATTTTTCCCACTGACCTCCAATGTAAGGGACTTTCTTCCCACTGACCTCCAATGTAAGGGGCATTCTTGCCACTGACCTCCAATGTAAGGAGCATTCTTCCCACTGACCTCCAATGTAAGGGGCATTCTTGCCACTGACCTCCAATGTAAGGAGCATTCTTCCCACTGACCTCCAATGTAAGGGGCATTCTTCCCACTGACCTCCAATGTAAGGAGAATTAATCCCAGTTTATTAAGTTTTAGAACTAATAAAGACTTTTGAATTTTCTTCAAATTTTAAAATCTACATATTTCTTCTAGGTCAGGTCCTCACAGAGAATTGAAGGTAGAGGATCAGCACAAAAGTCAACAAACTAGCATTTTCTAAAGGAGGTCAGCAATTTTAGCCACCACCTAGGAAAACTTTACTTTAAAACACCCAGTGACATCGGAGAAGGATTGGCCAAATTGAATGTTTTTGGCACTGAGAAAAGGGTCTTTCTTGAACAATTGTTTCAGACATTGATTGACAGATATCAGCTGTGAAAGTGATCAGTTTGCAGTTTTTCATCCAGTAGTGGTAGCACTTCCAAGATGGAACAGGGCAAGGCTCTGTGCTGGTGTTGATCAATCAGAATCATTCCCGGAAGCCTTGCAAAGAAAAGAGGGAGAAGAGCATGGATTTCAAATCTCCTTTAGCCTCTATATCGGCTGTGTGGGCACTGACAGCTCATCACCCATGGAGGTAAATACAGTACATCAGGGACTTGGGGGGGGGGGGGGGAAGAAGTGGTGAGGATGTAGAGTGTTAGTTCACCTTTTATTTTTTTTTCTGAGCAGGTGAACTACCTCTCTAGGTGACAGCATGCATTCCCTTGACTTCAATGCGTTTTGCCAAAATGGTGACATTTTACCACAATCTCCTAATTTCACCAGACTTTTTGGAAATAAAAGTGCCTAGATTCTGCCCATTCCTAGTTGTGAATGTTAAGTTAGTTATTTGTAGGTCTAAAAATTAAAAAAAATACATTTCTGCAAACTTTTTTTTTGCATCTGTTTTGGGAAAAGTCTGAATTATGGCAATTCCAAAAAACGAAATCCTTTTACTTATATTATCCCGCTTAAGGGAGACTGTCCAACACTCCAGAATTCTGACTTCTTCTGGCTCTCTGCTCCATCCATATGTTCTTTGGATTATAAAACTGGGTCAATAATATTCATCTGCCCCCCAGGAAGACAGCTGCCAGCATCCTTCTGGCTACAGCAAATCTTTTCCTGGCAGTGGAGAGTGCGCTCGGAATACTTACATCCCTACCTTACAAATGATCTGAAACAGAACTCATGTGACAAGGTGTTGCCACGTGTCAGTTATGTATGTAAAACAGCAGAGATTGGCAGCAGGGGCAGCCAATCTCTGCTTTGCAGGCATACCCTTGGACTTGAGTTTTAAAATGGTGGCTAAATTGATGTACAAGGGAAAAATATGTTATTTTCTGACCTTTTACAATGTTACTCTATTACAAAGCACTTGTACATAGGTCCATTTATATCAGTCCTTACACCAGAGGAGCTTGAAATATAATCACCGTAGTAGTTACCGGAGATCAGCAATATCACTGAAAATGCAGCCTTTTTGTTCACCAGAGACCACACACATCACTGGCAATACAGTCTATCAAGTCACCAGAAGCCACATATATTACCAACAATGTAGCCTATCCTATCACCAGAGACCACACTGATAATGCAGCCCATCCATTCACCTGAGACCACACATATCACTGACAATGCAGCCAATTTGTTCACCAGATTCCACACATATCACCAACAATTCCAACTATTTATTGTCCAATAGATCACACACATCACCAACAATGCAGCCTATCCATTCCCCAATAGATCACATGCATCACCAACAATGCAGTCTCTTCATTCCCCAATAGATCACATGCATCACCAACAATGGAGCCTATTTATTGTCCAATAGATCATACGCATCACCAACAATGCAGCCTATCCATTCCCCAATGCATGCCAACAATATCCATTCCCCAATAGATCACATGCATCACCAACAATGCAGCCTATCCATTCCCCAATAGCTCACATGCATCACCAACAATGCAGCCTATCCATTCCCCAATAGATCACATGCATCACCACCAACAATGCAGCCTATCCATTCCCCAATAGATCACATGCATCACCAACAATGCAGTCTCTTCATTCCCCAATAGACCATAAGCATTACCAACAATACAGCCTATCCATTCTCTAATAGACCACATGCATCACCAATAATGCAGCTATTCATTCACCAATCATGCATCACCAATATGCAGTCTATTCATTCTCCAATAGACCACATGCATCACCAACAATGAAGCCTATCCATTCCCCAATAGACCACATGCATCTAACAACAATGCAGCCTATCCATTCCCCAATAGACCACATGCATCACCAACAATGAAGCCTATCCATTCCCCAATAGACCACATGCATCACCAACAATGCAGCCTATCCATTCCCCAATAGACCACATGCATCACCAACAATGAAGCCTATCCATTCCCCAATAGACCACATGCATCACCAACAATGAAGCCTATCCATTCCCCAATAGACCACATCACCAACAATGCAGCCTATCCATTCCCCAATAGACCACATGCATCACCAATAATGCAGCCTATTCATTCCCCAATGGACCATATGCATCACCAACAATACAGCCTATCCATGCGTTCCACTATTATTGCAGCCTATCCATTCCCTAATAGACCATAGGCATTACCAAATGCAGCCTATCCGTTCCCCAATAAACCACACGCATCACCAACAATGCAGCCTATCCATTCCCCAATAGACCATAGGCATCACCAACAATGCATCTTATTCATTCCCCAATAGACAACACACATCACCAGTAATGCAGCCTATCATTCCCATATAGACCATACTCATCACCAATAATGCAGCCTATCCATTCATCAGTGACCACACATACCACTGACAACGCAGGCTATCTATTCACCATAGACCACACATACCACTGACAATACAGCCTATCCATTCACCACAGACCACACACATTAGTATATCGATTTAATACAAATTAACATCAGGGCCAAGCTAACAACTTTATCTAAACTGCACTACAATTGCATCATACATATGCAGTGCTTACCCCCAAAGGAGCCTCTGATGTATGGGTCACCTGGTTCCAGATGACAACAACCTTTCTGGAAATGCCACACCCTCGGACACGCTTAGGCTAAATAAGGAACCAACAAAAAGAGTATGGCAATAGTAATAAACAATAACAGATAATAAATTGACAAAACACCATAAACAATAACGGGACCAGGTGTCTCCGCACCTGACCTAGGGCCTTTTCAGACCCTTCTCACTGGCAAGTGTAGTTTAACCGTTTCACCCAAAAAACTGGCCCAAGCCCCCTGTTTCTCCTTCCTTTTCCTCCTCTCTCTAGCACTCAGCTTCTGGACCTTGTAGTCCCACACAGATCCACAACACTCCAATCTTTTTGGGGTCTTCCTCCCCCACAAGTCTTTGCTCCTTCCAGCAGTTCTAAAGCAAGCAAGGTGTGGCCATTCATCCCTAGGCTGCACTGCAGCCAATCACAGTGTCCTCTATATCCTGGACATTAGGCAGGTTTTCCTCTATCTCTATCACAAATTTGCCGGTGCCGATAAACGGTGTGTGATCTAAGGGTCCCAAATTTTTGTGGAATTTGGACAATCTCATCCAAAGTGGCCACCATTTTCTCAAAGGTAATTATCAAAAATTTAAATTAAAGGGCCACAGTGCTGCTACAAGGTCCAGATACAACGTTATTCTAATAAAAGTCAGAGTGGCAACCAAAGAGCACCCAAAGATTACCCAAGGTCCAAAAAATGCCCATTTCTTTAGGGCTTAAAATTGAAGACGATGTGAATGGGCTAGACATGAACTGAACCTTTATTTGCATTTCTTCCAGAGATTACAGGCACAGGTTTTGTCAGCAACTGGTTTGGCAGTACTGTAATCACACTGGAAGAAATAATAATTAAGGTCCAGTTCACTTCTAGCGCATTTATAGTTTTTTCAGTCTCAAGCCCTGATGAAGAGGACATTTCTGGACTCCCAAAACGCATTGGATTGTCCCCTTGACTGTTATGAACAAAGTCTTATCTGGACCCCAAGCTGGTTTCGCTGTTTATTTCCTATTGAGTGCACAGCAGCCAGGCACACATCAGCTTCCAGTCACAAAGACCAGGCAGAAAGTGTCTTCTTTTTTTTTTTCTTCATTGTTTGGAGAATGGTCCCCATTGGAAGAACTTGGATAGGGTAAAGAGTGAGCCTTGGGATACATCAGAACTAGTGCAAACTTTAACTGAGGACACTCTTTAGCAGTAATTAACCTCTTCAAGGTAGGCCTCTAGTGCAAGAAGATGTGGACATACAGATTCAGGAGGAACCCTCTCTGGATACAACCCTTAGCTAGCAAAATTCTATCAAAAGAGGTCAAACAGCAACAGTCTCTCCATGATCTCTCTCATGCCTCTGCTCACTATGTCCCTGAATACATGGGCGCCTCTTGCCAGTACCAGCCGGACCCTGTACCATGAGCCCTCACGCCATAAACCCAGCAGACTTTCTCCAGACTCAACAACTTCAGCAATAGGCTCTCCCTGAGCTAGGACCTTCGAAGAAACTTCTGCAGTCTAGGTAGCCCATGACCGCAGCTAGACCCTCCAGGCTGGGTCTCTCCCCACCAGGACAAGGACCCTGCTGTTGCATGCCCCTGGCTATTTATGCACACCTCATTTCCCTGCTGGTAACCCTCTCGACCGGGGATTGGCCGAGGCTGTATGAATATTTACCTCTCCCAACTCACTATATTCCAGAACTTTTTACAGAACTTACTGGGATACATGGGGAAGTAGTTGAGCCTGCAGCCAGCAAAACCCAGAACAGCCAAAAGCAATCAAATCCTCCTGCTCCCCTGACTACAGAGGAGCCAAAAAAATCCATACATTTACCTAAACCTGTTATTAACGTAACTAGGAAGGTGCTACACACTTCAAGGGGAATAGTGGTTTTCTCCAGGACCTGGCAATTGTCTGTTTTGCTGCAGTGAAAGCACACAAAATTCTAATTTGTTAAAGTGAAACAAAATTATTTCATATGGATTTCAAATGAGACATTTTTCTGAT